GCAGCTGGGCTCCAGTTTTTTCAGCTGTCATCAAGTCCTGCTTCCAGGCCGATCCAGCCACCCAGCTCGTGGTTGGTCTGTGTCATTGTAGCCCCTGTGGCGCTAGGGGCCGTATAGGCACAGAGCAAACACAGCTCCCCCTGCCCGCTACACTTACCTCGCCAATCCGCTTGGCACCCTGCTGCTGGGTGAGAAGTGAGGCCCTGGGGCCCTCTGCCCTGCGGCGCCGGGGGAGATCCGGAGGGGGCCGTTCTAACACACGCCTTGTCCTGGGACAGGAGGAAGGTGGCTGTAGCCAAGCAGAATTACCGGTGCGCAGGCTGCGGCATCCGGACCGACCCTGGTGAGTGCGGGAGCTCTGACGGCTGTAAACACGGGGTGCAGGGTGTAAACCTGGCAGGAGGGGGCGATACAAAGGAGGAACCGATGAGCTGGCGGGATGGTGGGGATCTCCGCGTGGGTACCTGGGACGCCGGGGCAGCTTTCTCTGCAGGCCTGGCCTGACCAGTAAAAGCAAACGGACGCAGGGAAGCGGCTACAGGACGGGCAGGGCCTGACTGCCCAGTGGTCTTGGTGGTAACGTAGGTCACGAAGAAGAGGAGCGGGCGCTAAGTTGGCAGCTTGGCTCACAAGCCTAAGGACAGCTCGTGATCCGTACGGGGACCGGCTCACGAGATCAGCCAGCCAATTGCAGGGGAGGAGGCAGTGCAGAATGCAAGGGGCAGGCGTGAGGCTGGTTTAGGATACGTTGCTTGGGCCGGGGGCCGCTGACTCAAGAAAATCAGTCGGGGGCTGCACACAAGCGAGAAGCCCCCCCCCCCAAAAAAGCCTCACCAGTGTGGCCCCCGACTGAGAAGCAGAAAGACACTCCCCACGTTCGCCTCGCACACCAGAGCCGGGCTAGTAGATTTTTGTGAGCCCCCAGGCTCGGAGGTGGGGCCAAAAATCTTTGGTGTGAGGTGTGGGAGGGAGGATGGTAGGGTGCAGGAGCGGAGTGTGGGGCTGGGCAGGCAGGGAAGTGCAGGAGCAGTGGGAGATGAGGGTGGGGGTGTCTGGGTGATGGCTGGCGATGGGGGGGTCTGGGCGATTGGGGTCGGGGGGCGGCGCTTACCTGGTGCAGCTCCCCTGGGGGGGACACAGCTCCATGTTCCCTGCGGCGTCCAGACACTGCCCCCTGCTGCTCCTATTGGCCATGATTACGGCCAATCAGAGCAGCAGGGGAAAGGCCTCCAGGCTGTGCTTTGCTGGGCTGCTGTCTCCCCAGCAAGGAGCAGGGGAGCGCTCAGAGCCTGCTAGGTTCCCCCTCCCCGATGTGGCTCGTCTGATGTAAGGTGGTGATTTGGGACCCAGGGGCACCCTGCCCCCTACCCCTGAGCCCCCTGTGTCACTTCGTTGATGCCAGTGAAGACCCCCCTGCGCTGTGCCCGGATTAGAAGGGAGGGCTGAGCTTCAGTGAGCCGGATTTCGTGTTCTCCCAGAACTGGGCGGGGCGCTCTGGATAAGCCGAGTGGGAAAGGTCTCGGGGAATCCCAGCATCTCCCAGGGAACGGATCTGCCCCTCCAGGAGGCCGTGGGGTCAGGGCAGGCAAGGGCTGGCCAATCTGCCCTCTGATGGCATTAAAGTCCCTGGTCCCATCGCTGGGCAGACTCAAGTAGGTGGGGGGAGGGAGGCTTCGCTCATTGGGATCGGTCCATTTGCGCTGGCGTCTGCTCTGGAATTGGAGCTGGACCCGAGCGTTGCTCTTGAGTTCACGCGGGGCTGTTCCATCTGGATCCCACGAGCGACGCGGCTCTTGGGCCCCTTGCCGACCGCTGCATTGAAACAGCATTTGCCGGCTGCGCGTTCCCAGCAGACGCCTCTCAAGTAATTGCTTGTCTGAACTCAATAGCGGGGTGGCTGCATGCGATATATAGGCAGATCTGGGCTGCCACGGACTCCTGGGGGACTACAGATCCCAGCATGCATTGCTCTGGGCTAGGAATGTGCAAGGTTAACCCTTAACGGGTGAGGTTCACTGGTTATCATTAATTGGTGGGGACTGCAGCTGGAGCAACCCCCATCCACGGCAGGCCAGAGCCAGGCATGCCGCAAGCAGCGGCTGGTCTAGAACGGCTCCCCCCTGCCCAGCCCCCCCCTTTAGTTAGTTAGCTGGTTAAACATAAAGTTGAACTGTTTAATGAAACAGGATTTTACATCCCTACCCTGGGCAGGAGAGGGTGTTCCCATGCCAGGACCTTGAGGATATGTCCACACTGCAGTTAACCTGCCCTCCGCAGCCAAATCAGGCTCGGGTTACGGAGCTGCTAGATGCAGTGTAGAGGTTCAGGCTGGAGCCCAAACTTTGGGAGCCTGAGCCCCAGTCCGCTGACGGGCCAGCCGTGGGCAGTGTACATCCTGCGTAAGTGGGACTTCGGCAAGTACTACGTCAGCAACTTCTCCCGGGACCTGCTGAGCAAGATCTGGAGCGACCCGCTCTTCAGCGTGCAGGACCTCAACGCCCCTCTGTACCGGAAGGTGAAGGCCCTGAATCAAGTCAGGGTAAGGCTCTGCCTCATGCGCCGCGCCGGTGCTGAAAGCCAGTGGTCCCATCCTAAATTTTTCACCTCTCCTTCGGCAAGTACTACGTCAGCAACTTCTCCCGGGACCTGCTGAGCAAGATCTGGAGCGACCCGCTCTTCAGCGTGCAGGACCTCAACGCCCCTCTGTACCGGAAGGTGAAGGCCCTGAATCAAGTCAGGGTAAGGCTCTGCCTCATGCGCCGCGCCGGTGCTGAAAGCCAGTGGTCCCATCCTAAATTTTTCACCTCTCCCCCACTTGTCTCCTGCTCTACCCCCCCCCCCCCCCACCACAGGGCCCGCACTCTGCATGCCAGGCCAGCCAGGAGCTGAGTCCCTGGGCACAGGGACGGTGGGAGCCAGGACCCCGGGTGCAGGGCTGGGAACAGAGCCCTGGGCGCAGAGTTGGCTGCACTGGGCAATAGGGTGGTGGCCAGGACCCTACCCAAGAACTGGGCGTGCTGCCTAGAGTCGTGTTTTCCCAAGAAGACCGAGGGCTTCAGCCTTCTTCCTGGGAGGCAGGTATCACTCCGCCCCCCCCCAGTGATCCATGGAGCAGGGAGTAAGACTGGCAGAGTGGAGTTTCTTGTGGGGGGCCATGCTATTTCCTGCTCTGCCTTCATTAGTGGGCCAGAAAACTCAGCTGCTGCTGCTGCTTACCCTTCTCTATAGGCATCTTGTCCATAGATTACACAGCCTATTACAAAGGTGGAGGGGTATTGTCTAGTCTACAGCTGGGGAAACTGAGGCACAGGGTGAGGTTGCCCAGCAGGCTGGTAGCAGAGCTGGAAAAAGAAGCCAGTAGTCCTGACACCCAGGCCTGGGCTCTAGTCAGTGGAAATGCAACCCCCAGGGGACTCCCTGTTGGCAAAACCTGCCGGATGGTCATTCCTTGTGGTCTCTGATCTAGTAGGGGATCTGACATTCCAGAGTCTGAACTAAGGAGGGAAGAGACTGTTACTTCTTGGGGCCCGGCCTTCTCCTAAGCTTAGCCTGGCTGATGGGCAGATGTTTGCGAGCAGCTTACAACCCCCATAATGCGCGTTTCCAATGCACGGCTCGTTCACCGTACGGTAGTACGGGGTGGAGAGGAATTTCTTCCTGACCTCCGGCTGCACCGCAGTTTGTGCCTTGAAGCATGAGGGTTGTTAGCCCTCCCGGTGTTGGCTGAGCCGTTTAACTGCTTCAGTGCCAGGGAACTCGAAGCTGGTTGGCAGCAGAAACATGTCGCAGCAGCATGGGCGGGAGCAGACTGGAGTGGGTTTGGCTGAGGCCTGCCGTTCACTTTGCTTAACAGTCACTTTGTGTGTATGTGTGTGTTTGTTTCCCCCCAGCTCTTGAGAATCCAGCTGTTTCACTTGAAGAACATGTTTAAGACCTGCCGGCTAGCCAAAGAGTGAGAACTGGGGATCCAACCGGAGCGTGGCTTGCATCCGTTTCAGACGCTCGTGGCTGGCTGTCTCTTGGCAGCCACGTGTGCGCTGCTGCCCAGACCTCTGCGGGGGGCGGTGGCAGGGGGAGGGAGGGAGGAAAACTTCCAGGGTCACGGCAAAATGTTCAGAGGCATCCAAGATCACCCCCCGCCCCAGTGCTGTGGCAGGCCAGCTAGCTGCTTGGGTGCATGCCGCACTCTGAGAGCAGACCAAGCACAGAGGGGGCCGGAGGTTGGGCGGGAGATCAGCTTCCGCTGATGCTTGTTGGGGAAAGATGGGCGCTTGGTCCTGACCCTGGACTGCGTCTGATCCCTTTGGGATCCCGCTTTCCAAGGCGCTGCGACCTTCGTGGTGCCGCCTTGCGCTGTAGCCATCCCCTCTGGCTGGCGATGCCGGAGGCGGGGCTGGGAGAGGGCCCTGAGCCCTGCGGCCTCCCCCTTGCTTGGCACAAGGAGTGCAGGCCCAGCAACTGGCCCACGGTTTCCTACTAGCCTCTAAAACCACCAGGCCCCGGGAGCGCTCAGGCTCTG